CCTCCCACATCAAAAGAAGGAGGAGGAGGAACAGAGGAATCAACATTTGTTTCAATTACTTCAACCATTATGAGAGTTGTGAAGATCAGAAGCTAGATCAAGACAAAATACAACCAATGGATTGAACACGAAGATAGAAACAGATCACGATTTGAAGAAGAAGAATTCTGTGAATTGAAACTTGATCGAGATAAGAACACGAAGGCAAGAACAGATCACAATTCATCGTGGCTCTGATACCATGTGAAAGCTTAATGTTTAAGCTTGAGAAACACCATTAATGGTGGACAATGAAAGAATGAAAACGATGCTAAGAGAGAAAGCAATCTCAGATTTCATATGTTGAGCAAAACTATCTCACGTGAATACAATGCTTAAGCCATATATATACACACACTACACACTTCTAGATCCTAACAGAATTTGAAACTAACTCTAACAGATTGAATAACTAACTAATAATATAACTAACTTCACTTCATGCATTCTGTAATTCTAAGTCTCAATAAAAATACCCCTCGGTTATTTTTTTGGTCCAATATTATCCTTTAAACTAATATTTTTTAATTATTATATCTATTATTTATTACGTAACGTCTTTCTATTGGATAAAATTAAATTCCAACACACCAAATTTTGGGATCTCCTGCCCACCCAACCCACATTGACATTCTTTTACCCAAATCCAATTAAAAGATTTTTTTTGTTATTTTTTATTCTTTTACCCAAATCCAATTAAAAGATCTTTTTTATTTTTGATGGATCTTTTAATTGGGTTTGGATCAAGGAGTGTCAATATGGCTCAGGTGAGTAAGAGAAAGTTTAGTGGGTTGAAATTTAACTTTATCCAATAAGAAAATGTCATGTAATAATTATTATATATAATAATTAATAAAATATGATGTTAGTTTAAAGAGTAGTATTGGACCAAAAAAGTTCCTTATTTCTATATTGTTTATTTGATTTTTACTTTGACATAAAACTTAAGAAAATAAAAATATTTTTTAAAAAATAAGACAAAAAAACAAGGAAACTGAAAAGACCTATGATTATGGATGACAAAAGATTTGCCACCGCACTGCAACTCTTATTGGTACGCCATCCGAAATCTTATCATAGCTAGACGTTAACATAAATTAAATAAAATATAAGACACATTTTTCACATATAAATTTGATTAATTTAAACGTCGCGCGGTCAAGCGGAGGAAAGTAGGTCATCAAGTACAGTAAAGTGAGATTTTTTTTTTCTTTTTTTAAAATTTCGACATGTTTGTTTAGAGAATGTTAACTGATCAATCATAAAAAAAAAAATTGTAATTTTTCTTCCATT